TTCGATGATTTTAGCGACATTATTTACCGGAATTGTTTCAAATTTGGTATTTAAAGTTCGTATTGGGTACTACAGCCTATGACAGAAAATTGTCTGTGCAGGTCCATATCTTCGTATAGTCCCCATTTGACGGTACCTCCTGATACTCGGTATTTTCATGATTTTTGCGACATTATTCACCGGAATTGTTTCAAATTTCGTAGTTGAAGTTCGTAATGGGTGCTACAGCCTATGACAAAAGTCTTTGTATGCAGGCCCACGTCTTCGGTCTTTGGTATTTTCATGATTTTTGTGACATTATTTACCGGAATTATTTTAAATTTCGTATTGGAAAATATTAATGGGTACTACACTCTATGTTAAAAAAATTCGTATGCAGGTTCACGACTTCGTATAGCCACCATGTAACGGGACCTTCCGATACTAGGTATTTTTATGATTTTTGCGACATTACTTACCGGTATTGTAACAATTGTCGTATTAGAAGATCTTAATGGGTAACACAACCTATGGTAAACAGATTCGTATGCAGGTCCACGTCATCGTATAGCCCCATATGACGGTATCTTCCGAAACTCGGTATGTTTATGATTTTTGCGACATTATTTACCGGTATTGTAACAAATTTCGTGTTGGAAGATCTTAATGGGTAACACAACTTATGGCAAACAAATTCTTATGCAGGTCCACTTCATCGGATAGCCCCCATATGACGATACCTCCCGATACTCGGTATTTTCATGAATTTTGCGATATTATTTACCGGAAATGTTTCCAATTTGGTTTTAAAAGTTCGTAATGAATACTGCAGCCTATGACAAAAATATTCGTACGTAGGTCCACGTCTTCGTATAGCCTCCGTATGACGGTACCTCCCGATACTCGGTGTTTTTTTTTTGTTGATTTTTACGATATTACTTACCGGAATTGTAACAAATTTCGTATCTAAAGTTCGTAATGGATACTTTAGCCTATGACAAAAGTATTCGTATGCAGGTTCACGTTGTCGTATATCCCCCAAATAACGATTTTCAATTAAGTGGTACTTTTCGGATTTTTTTTTTTTTTTTTTTTTTTTTGGAAGATTTTCATGTTCCTTCCAAATGGTGGAGGCTATTAAAAGTTCGGCCCGACCCGGCCGATCTTCCTTCCTTTTTTACTTGTTTAACTTTATGATTATTATTATCATTTTTTTTTTTTTTTTGTGAGTCCATGGGCCGAACTTGTCGCATTCGACATGGAACAAATTCCGATCGAGCTAAATGAAAATGAGCTGAAACAAATTCATTTCAATCGAAAATTGGGAGATATCGATTGCCAGAATTTGGCCCCATTTGGCTTTTTATGAGGGTCAATGGGCGCATACGAAGTCCAACCTGAAAGGAAACCATAATCTGGTTATAGGGTTGGAATATTTAAGACAAATTTTAATAATTCTCCATAAGGACATGAGCAGCTAATAATATGTTTCCAAATTATTTGCCAAGTCATCAATCCTTTTTATACATATTTTCACATTCACACACACACACATATGCAGATACAAACATACAGTGGTGCATATGGGTTTGTGTGTGTCCACACACACACATATGGCGACAGACATTAAACCGTTAAGTGGTATTGTTTTCTGTTAATATTTATTATTATTCAAATCGAAATTTATGATGATGGCAAAAAGGACACAGAAATCTGTGAATGTGGCACAAAAGTTAAATCAGAACTGTCATCAGCCGAATCGACTCGGAGCGAATAGACCCAAAAACCGGGGAGCGCCTGGTGATGATGGATGACCACTTAACAAAATTAAAAACTCAATAGCAGAACAACAACCCAGCAATGAAGTGGGGTATGATGCCACTTATGATTTTTACGGGTAAAAAGGGATATGTCATTGGAATTGGGTCTATTACGCATTTCCCAGAGTTAAGTAGCCCCAAATGGATACGATATGTGGCAAAGGAATGGGAAAAGACAAAAATATGCATGATAAGAACATCACATTCAATTTCAAAGGGGAATGACGTGAAGCTGCTCCCTTGCTCCCCTTGAGAAGCACCAGAAATAGACACCATCAATTCCCCCCAAATTACCATCGTCAGCTGAACAATAAACGCGCACCGTAAATTTATGACTTTTTGCGGGCGGGTATTAAACAAAAAGTTGGCACTTTTTAAGCTTATTTTGTTATTGTCACTTTTTGTTAGAATTATCGTTGCTGTGGTTGTTGTTGTTGTTGTGGCGGTTTTGTAGTTGTCTCAACAAAGATTAACTACCTGTAAAGTTAATTGAGTAAATTGTGTAAAACAACTTTTATGTCAGCCATTAGTCAAGGCAAAGTTTTACCGCAGTTTTGAGAAATAAAAAAACGAACGAAACGAAAATGGAGAACATTTACCGCGCACACCATAAAAACTCTTCCTTTAGCTCATTAATTATGCGCGAAGTTATGATGGGAACGAGGTGAAGGAGAAAATAGTGAGGTAGCCAAGCAGCCAACAAAAATTGAAAAGGACACAAACAAAGTGGCGGCCTTTGTTGTTAGCATTCATTCGTCTCCATCCACGGTTGGGCATTTATAGCCATTTATTTGCCTTGGCAATACTGAATAGTGGACTGCTGCGAATAAAACTGCGCGATTGTTCATTCTGAAAAAAATCTTTATCGGGATGTTGTTTTGTAGGAATGGGTAAATATTTGTGTGGTTCGATAGACATAAATGAAGCCTGGTTGAATCTAAGTATTTAACCTAGAGCAACTAAGTACTTGATAACCCAAGTTCAGCTATAAATCCAATAGCAACAATATCCAAATAAAAAATAGCTTAATGTATTGGGCGCCACCTGAAAAGAAATATAATAAGCAGGGAAGTGACAGCCATATCGTCAGAAAAAAGTCCACCTTAAAATTTTTGGATTCGTTCAAACAGCTCGTGTTAGTACTTTAAATGCCTAATTCAACAACAGTGACATTCCTATCAAAATTGACGATTCCAACTCTATCCTTCACCCAATACCCAATTTTGTACCACTTAGTACTTTTGGTACAATTATAGTTCGCATTTCCAAAACCACCTCATTTCTCAATTTCATAGACATCAATATCAATATTCGGGATTCCAGGTCTATTGATTTACGCAATACCGAATTTAGTAACATTCAGTACTTTTCGAATAATTATGGTACAAATTTCAGCTCTTATTAGTATAATTTAATACTATTTAGTACATTTCGAACAATTTTGGTGCACATTTCCCAAACCACCTCCATATCTTCATTCCAGACCACAATATCTAATTTGAGGATTCCAGCATTATATACTCACCCAATACCTGATACAGATAAAACCAGTAAAGAAAGTCCTAAAGTCGAGCGGGGCCGACTTTATGATACATTACACCACTTTTCTAATTTAGTAGAGCTCCTCATAACAATTAAAAGTTTTTATGGGAGAATTTAATCATACAAGCTATGATTATTATTGTAATTTAAAGTTCAAAGGACTAAATATGCCGAAGCATTTGTATCTTTTAAATTCGGACTTGTATTGCCCATTTGGTGCAAAATTAATTTGAAATCAGATAAAGATATATATGGGAGCAACATCTAAATCTGAACCGATCTCGATAAAATTTGGCAAAGATATTTCTGAGCTGTATTTCATATATTTCCCTGAATATCGTTGTTACGGAGTGCATATTACGGCTGTGGATAACAAATACTAGAAATCGGATGAACAGTATATATGGGAGCTATAGCTATATCTGAACCGATCTTCATGAACAGTATATATTGGAGCTATAGCTATATCTGAACCGATCTTCACCAAATTTGACATACTAGCTTCAACAATCAATTCGGTCGTAGGTGCCAAATTCCATCCCATTTGGGCAAATATTAGACGTTTGGTGTACAATAAAAGGTAAATCGGACGAAGTTATGTATGGGGGATATATCCAAATCTGAACCGATCTTGATAAAATTTGTCAAAGATTTTTCTGAGCTGTATTTCATATATTTTCTTGAATATCGTTGTTACGGAGTGCATGTTCGGCTATGGTTAACAAATCGGATGAACAATATATATTGGAGCTATAGCTATATCTGAACCGATCTGCACCAAATTTGGCATACTAGCTTCTAGACGCAATTCGGTCGCATGTGCCAAATTCCATCCCATTTGGGCAAATATTAGACGTTTGGTGTACAATAAAATGTAAATCGGACGAAGTTATATATGGGAGCTTTATCCGAATTTAAACCGATCTCGATAAAATTTAGCAAATGTATTTCTGAGCTGTATTTGATATATTTCCCCAAATATTGTTGTTACAGAGTGCATATTACGGCTGTGGAGGACAAAAATAACAAATCGGATGAACAATATATATGGGAGCTATAGCTATAACTGAACCGATTTCGATCAAATTTGGCGTACTTATTTTTATACCCTCCATCCTTGGAAAGGAGGGTATATTAACTTTGTCATTCCGTTTGTAACATCCCTAAACATTCGTCGTAGACCCCATAAAGTATATATATTCATAATCAGCATAAAATTCTAAGTCGATTTAACGATGTCCGTCTGTCTGTCTGTCCGTCTGTCTGTCTGTTGAAATCACGATACAGCCCACATTATCTGACGTAGAGCGCCAAAATTTAGCAGAGCTATTTGCATTGTGTCTAGGATGGTTGGATGAGCGTGTGGCAAAACATTGCATGTATAGGTCCACGTTGTGGTATAGCCCCCATATAAAGGTACCTCCCTATATTCGGTATTTTAGTTTTTTTTTTTGCCAAATTTATTTACGGATTTGTCTAAAAATTGGTATTTGTGGGTCATAATGGTTTCTAGCTCCGGTGGCGAAACATTGAATGTATGGGTCCATGATTTGATATAGCCCCCATATAACGGTACCTCCCGGTGTTCGGTATTTTGATGGTTTTTGTAACAACCGCCGAAATAACCAAATAAAACAATAACCAATTAATTCAGGAACGGTTTCTTTTAATGAATAAACTATTTATAATAGGAACATAAAACGACGCGATTTCATCAGAAAAACTAATAATAATTTATTTTTATAAGTGATGCCAGATCAACTGGTTATGTTTGTGTGCTGCCACTCTGATAGCTATTCAGCTGGTTGCCACATCCCTCCTCTATTTTTCTTAAGCTTCATCGTTACTTTCGGCCTGGATCCTCCCGTATCTAAGTTAGATGATTTTGATGATGGTTCCGATGATGATTCATTGGTTAAAGGACCTTCGTCGGCGGCATCTGGATCATGATGGAGTTCGTGATGTTCTGGATCTGCAACCGAAGTCTCCGTGGGCCTTGCTAAAGATGGTAGCGATGAATCAGTTGGAATTTTCTTAACATGAGTAATGTTTCTGCGATACACTCTGCCTTCTCCTGATATCACGACATCATTGCCCTTTCGTTCCGTTACTTCGTATTCAGTTTGCCCAAAGGTTGTAGATAATTTGTTAGAGTGGACAGTATTTCGCATCAATACTTTATCCCCAACTCTGATGTTGCAATCGACCGCATTTCTGTCAGAATCGGCTCTCTGTTTCCCTTTATCTTTATTCACAATGTCATTGTCTCTGGCTTCAGAGTCGATAACATTCTCTTCAACGTCATTCAGCGATGGAATCTTATCTCTAATCACTCGATTAAAAATAAGTTCCGATGGAGCTTTTCCTGTTGTGCCATGCGGAGTGACATTATACATGAGGGTAAATTTACGAATCTCCTTTTTATAGTCCAAACCCTGCGAGTGAGCAATCTGAAGACGTTTTAAAAGAGAGCGGTTCAAATTTTCGACCTCTCCATTAGCTTGGGGCCAATAAGGCGGTGATGTCATCAAGTCGATATTATTAGTACTGCAAAAAGTCTTGAATTCTTCGCTCACAAATTGGGGCCCGTTATCTGCAGTTATTGACTTGGGATATCCATGTCGGGCAAATATTTCCTCGAGAAAATCAATAATTTCCGTTGACGTTATCTTCTTCATAAATTTTAGCTCGTGATATCGTGAGTAGTCGTCAATAACTACAAATACAAAATCGTGATTCGGCAACGGGCCCAATAAATCCATTGCTACACAAGCCCAGGGACTGTCTGGCATGATTCGTCTTTTCATAGGAGCCGGTGGTATTGGCCGAGATACCAACATACATTCATAACAGCTTTTCACGTATTTCTCTATATCTCTATCGACCAAAGGCCACCAAATCTTCGAACGAATTCTTCGCTTCATCACGGTTTCGCCTGGATGACCTTCGTGGCCTAGATCCAGCACTCGTTGTCTCAGGCTTGCAGGAATCACAAGTCGCGTACCTCTTAGCAACAAATTCCCTAAAATACTGAGCTCAAATCGAAATAGATAATACCTGTTCTTAGTAGCTGTACTCCAATCTTCGGTATTTACACATTCCACTGCCTGCAAAATCTCATCATCTTTGCTATTATTGTGTACAATTTCCAAAATGGTTAAAGCCTGTGGTACTGAATTTTCTATTATAGAGCAAATGCTGAACTCGCATGGCTTATCAAAAGTAACAGCTGTATCCAGATTACAGAGTCTGGACAATGAGTCTGCTATGTTATGTTTCCCCGCTTTGTATATAATTTTGAAGCTAAAGGACTGCAGGCGCAAGACCCAACGCTCGATACGAGCCGGCGGCTTCGATGTTGGCTTAAAAATGGCTTCGAGAGGCTTGTGGTCCGTCTCCAGCTCAAATTGAATCCCCGCTAAGTAATAATAAAATCGCTCGACAGCCCACACCAGAGCCAGGCTCTCTTTCTCAGTCTGCGAATATCTGCGCTCTACTTCAGACAGCGCCTTACTTGCAAAAGACACGACATACGGAGTGTCTCCAGTAAATTGAATTAGTACCGCTCCCAAAGCCACTGGGCTGGCATCCGCAATTAATCTCGTGCGCCGTTTCGGTGAAAAATAAGTAAGTGTTGGAAGGGCAATTAATTTTTCCTTGAGTTTTAAAAATGCATCGTTTTGTCTCGTGGTCCAAATAAACTTCTCGTTGGCTTTCGTGATTTCTCTTAGAGGTTCAACCAAATCGCTCAAATCCGGTATAAATTTACCTAAATAGGTAACCAGACCAAGAAAACTGCGAGTCTCCTCCCGTGAGTTGGGTGCTCGAAAATTCAGCACACTATCGATTTTATCCGGGTCAGCGCTTATACCATTTGTTGATAGGACGTGGCCCAGAAATTTTAGATTTTGTACTTTCCACAAGCATTTGTCTTCGTTTATGGCTACATTGAAGTTTTTAAAGGTGTTAAGGACATCTTGTAAATATTCATCATGTTCCTTTTCAGTTGCGCCGAAGACTATGATATCATCCAAATAGTTTAGTGCATTCTTGCATGGGGCCAAAATACTTTCCATAGTTCTCTGGAATATTTCGGGAGCTGAGTTCACCCCAAATAACAGTCTTTTGTATCTAAATAAGCCTTTGGAAGTTATAAATGTTGTTATGTAGCGGCTTTCCTCTTCTAACTCCAATTGATGATAGGCATTTTTAAGGTCAAGCCTCGAAAAGAATTTAGCACCTTGTAATCTCGTCATAAAACTATCAAAAGTAGGCAATGGATAATTTTCTCTCAAAATTGCTGTATTTGCACGCCTCATGTCAATGCACAGCCGAATGTCGCCATTTTCCTTGAAGACAACTACCACAGGAGATATCCAAGCGCTAGGACCAATAACCGGTTCAATAATATCCAAAGCTAATGCCTCATTAAGTTTCGCCTCGACCCTATCCTCAACCGCAACAGGCACCCGGCGTAATGGTTGTTGGATAGGTCTTACGGTGGTGTCAATAGATAAGTTTACTTTTATTCCAGCAATTTTATTGAACGGTTGCAATTTCTCAACATGATTAATGCCGATACCCAGCTTCAACACACCTAGTTTGATGGCCGTATCTTTACCAAGCAACGATTGTTCGCCATGCTCAATGACATAAAAAGTTGACATCACATTTGAGCTACTCCTAATTCCAATAACAGCTTCGAAAACCACTTTTATCGTTAATGCCGCTTTGCCAGCGTATGCTTTAAATTGATGATCTGATTCAAACCGAATATCCCACATGACTGCGTTTCCATCACTCAACAAATTCCAATCATCTTCACAAAGCAGATTGTATTTTGATCCTGAATCAATCAGCATACTTATTTGCTTACCACCGATAAAACACTGAATTATCTCAGCCGCAGATTCTCCTTCATTAAATATCTTGAAACAATAGTCATCATTTGCCTTGGAGTTATTAGCATTCACGTCTATCGATTGGCCATCAATATATCGTATTTTGTTAAAACCAAAATCCCGGCGCTTTGTATTTCTATTATCAAATGTTGAAAACTTTCGTTTGTTTGAGGTAGTACGGCATTTACGAGCAAAATGTCCCAACATGGCACATTTGTTGCATTTAATTTTCCTGGCTGGACAGTTCATACTGTTTCCGTCATGGCTGCTCTGTCCACATCTAAAACATTCTCGGTTATCAGAAATTTTATTGATTTCCGCACCCGCGCTCGTGCTTGGAGCATTCATTGATTGTGTCTGAGCATTAATTTGTTCATGGATTTGGCAAATTTCAATTACTTCTTTCAAGGTGTGCTCTTTTTCCAAAATCTTCTTTTTCAAATCCGCAGACGCCCAGGCGTCAATCAACTTATCTTTAATACTAATTTCCAATATTTCATCCTTTGTTGTTGCAAACACACACTTCGACGCCTGTTGCCGTGTTCTTAGCAAGAATTTATTAAAGGTTTCATTACATTCTGCTTTCAATGATCGAAATAGATGCCTCTCAAATGTGGAATTCCTCTCCGGCGAAAAATAATCAGTCAATTTGTCAACTAATATTTTGTAAGCATCTTCGTTTTCTGCACAAGTCAAGGCACCTGGAATGTTATGCACAACTTCCTGCAATTGAGTTCCACCGTAATGCAAAAGTTTATTCTTTTTCTTGATCACATCTGTTATTTCTTCTGCATCAAGGTAGAATGTAAATGACCTGAGCCATTTTTCCCACTCAGTACGAATGAGTGACTTGTCAATTGCTTCGCACAGAAATGGCCTTATTCCATTTGTCTCATTCATGTCTGAAAACAATGTTATTGTTTCCTAAAATAAACTGTTCTTTTTAACATTCACTGTCATTACGACATTATATTCAACAACTTACGATTGATCGTATTGTACATTTGCTTGTAAATTAATTTGCCCAACTGGCCCAGATCTTATTCCAACTTGGAACACAGATTTTTTTCTCGCACCGCTTGTGCTTATTCTTATTTTAGTTTTTTTTTTTTTTTAACTAAAACACAGAATTTGTTTGCCCAACTGGCAATCTGAAATTATAAATAAAATCGTTCACATCAATTCAGATTTAATTTCCGAAGAATTTCATCCAAACGTCTACTGCGTGCATGCGCGAATTGTTTGTTTCCTTTTCTTCCCATATTTACCTCGTCGCCACTGTAACAACCGCCGAAATAACCAAATAAAACAATAACCAATTAATTCAGGAACGGTTTCTTTTAATGAATAAACTATTTATAATAGGAACATAAAACGACGCGATTTCATCAGAAAAACTAATAATAATTTATTTTTATAAGTGATGCCAGATCAACTGGTTATGTTTGTGTGCTGCCACTCTGATAGCTATTCAGCGGGTTGCCACAGTTTTTGCCACACTTTTGCACGGATTTGTCTGAAAATTGGTATTTGTTGGTCATAATGGGTTCCAGCTCCGGTGGCGAAACATTGCATGTATGGGTCCATGATTTGGTATAGCCCCCATATAACGGTACCTCCCGATATTCGGTATTTTGATGGTTTTTGCCACATTTTTCACTGATTTGTCTAAAAATTGGTATTTGTGGGTCATAATGGGTTCTAGTTCGTGTGGCGAAACATTGTAATTATAGGTTCACGTTTTGGTGTAGCCCCCATATAACGGTATCTCCCGATATTCGGCATTTTAATGGTTTTTGTCACATTTCTTCTAATGTTTCTTTTACCCTAAGGTGGAGGGTATTAAAAGTTTGGCCCGGCCGAACTTAATGTTTTTTTACTTGTTAGGCCTAATTTGGTTGTTTGTGCAAAGTTCCATACTATTCGTGCTGATGTTACACATTTGGTGCACAATAAAAAGCAAATCGGACGAAGATATATATGGGAGCTATATATAATTTCTTACCGATTATCTCCAATTTCAATAGGGTACGTCCTTGGGCCAAACAAATGTTGTTTGGAAAATTTCGTCTCAATCGGATAATAAATGCGACCTGCATTTTGTTCACAAGAATACATGGAGAGACAGACGGACTGACATGCATAAATCAACTCAGAAAGTGATTCTATGGAGATCCTCAAAAGTAACTATGGGTCTATCCTCGCTTCCTTCTCCATGTTACAAACAAATGCACAAAGACATAATACCCTTACCACTATGTGGTGTAGGCTATACAACCTGCAACAAAGTCAAACGCTATCATTTTACATTTTTTTTTAATTTTATTGAATGAAAACAAAAAATGTCGGAAATAGCATAAAATTTTAGAATAAGTTTGGATTTGGGCACATTTGGTACGTATTATGGCCTTCAAACGGCCAATGAAACTGTCACACGCTGCCCGAATGTTGCTCTGCTGTATTTTGGCACATTCCCGGCGAAGCGCTTGATTGAGGTGGATGACGCAAATGAAGCAAGGAACCTCATTTTGTAACTATTCTTGGGTGGCGCGAGCTGAATGCGATGGTGCTGAGTCGTGTTGGAATGAACAAGCTCAGCGGCCTAAATGTTTGCGTGCCCATGACTTTAATACACCCTCCACAATATTTTCGCGATAATATTTGGCATTTATTCTGACGCCACGGTCGAATAAAACGAGTGGAGAGCGACCATCGGCTGTTATGGCGGCCTACACCATCACCATGGCCGGCGCTTGAGTTCTTGTGGCCAACCGAAGGTGCTCATTTTCAGCTAACCTCTTTGGCAAGTAAACACGATCATTTTGTTTGTTTACAAACTGCTGGAAAAAGAATGTTTTCTCATCGGAGACGGAGAAACCCGGAGAAAAACTTCGGCAGTTCACCATTTTCGGCCATACAAAGCAACTCTTTAGCTCTTTTGAGTAATTTTTTTTCTCTTGCGATGTACGTTCTTGCACTTTTTGGAATTTCAATGGCTTTGCCCCGAGCTCATTATTCGATATTTGCCGAATGAAATATGGCGATATGTTCGGCCCTCGAGGTATTTTCCGGCCACTGCGACGCGGTCGATCAAGTCGTTTCTTTACATTTGAAAACATTTCTGCTGATGTTGCTGTTTTCTTCCATCTCTTCCTTGACGTCGCTACTGGCTACGCTACCGGTATCACTATAACGAGCGATGGTACCAGACACAAAAGATTTATTCACATTTAAATGCTGGTATGCTCTAACGATAGCCACTTGTGGTTTTCCAGCCAAATATAAAGAAATCACACTATCACGCCTGAATTCCATCACGAATAACTTTGTTTCTGGAAAATTCTCCCCCCAAATGTTTTTGTAGGCTTGTAAACAATATAATGTCAATGGAATAATTTTAACAGCTCTCGGACGAGTGACTTAGAAATTACATCTCACCCTGTATGTGAGGTATGTGATCATTTTTAGAGTGCGTGCGTATTGCGTGTGAGTGAATTACATTTTCATACTTCATTTAATACTGATAAAAATATTGGCATGGACAAAATTACTACAAAATTGAACATTTATATCCAATTTTAGGCGAATTTATATAGCAAAAGAAATGGCCCGATCTCTACCACCTTTATAACAGATTTCGTGTTGATAGAAATATTGACATGCACCAAGTCTGGAATGGAATCAGATGTTTATTTCGCTTTTTATGAGCCTCATGGATATTCGACAATTTTAACCCTTAGTGGGGAAGGTGCCAGAAGGAGTGGACCGATATATCCACCTTCACACTAGGGCCCGAGTTAATAAATTATATATTATATATGGGGGTTAAACGAAGATCTGGACTTGCATGAACACTTTTTGGGTCACGGACTACATTACAGATTAGGAACTTCAATTACGGAATTTAAAACAATTCCGGTGAGACATGTTGCTAATATTATCAAAATATCGAATAAGTGTAGTTAAAATTTTATGGGGGCTATACCTAAACATGGCCCCATATAGCCCGTTTTCAATACCAAAAGTCCTGCAGACCAAACACACATTTCAGTACAATTTTATCAACATACTTCATTTCGTTCGGAAGCTAGAGTGATTTCCACAGACGAACAGAAAGACGGATGGACATCTTTGTGGGGTCTAAAATGTATGCTTCGAGGTGTTACAAAAGGAATGACAAACTTAATATACCATTCATTGCCATTAAATTTAGGATTATCCATATTTGGATAACTGAGCCTTTAAAAAATCAAATAATTTAGGTATGCCAAAGTATTTCTTAAAATTTAGAGATATCAGCATTCAAAAAAAGTTAAGGAAACAATTTCTACAAAATTGATGGCGTAAGCATTTTCAATCTGGGTCTACAATTTGAGGTTCTGAACCGTTTTGAAAACATTACAATTTTAAAAGCGAATTGACACATTTCAAAAGTGTCAAATTTTAGTTTGATGTAGCGATAAAAAAAATTCCGTTCAACCACTCAATTTTGAAAACTACACCTACACCACAAGGTGGTCAGGGTACTATGTCTTTGTGCATTTGTTTGTAACAGGCAAAAGAAAACGAGATAGACCCATAGTTCCTTTTGATGATCTGCATAGAATCACATTCTGTCCGTCCATGCATTTTTGTAAACAAAGTACAGTTCGCATTTATTACCCGATCCAGACAAAATTTTGCACAAATCAATTGTTTGGCCCAAGGACGAACCCTATTGAAATTGGAGTTAATCGGTAAAAATTTAGATATAGCTCCCATATATATCTTCGTCCGATTTGCCTTTTATTGTGCACCAAACGTGTAATATCAGCCCGAATAGTATGGAATACAACCAAATTAGGCCTGAAAATATGTATGCCAAATTTTATCGAAATCGGGATATAGCTATAGCTCCCATATATATTGTTCATCCGATTTTTTATTTTTGTCCTCCGCAGCCGTAATATGCACTCTGTAACAACAATATTTGGGGAAATATATGAAATGCAGCTCAGAAATACATTTGCTAAATTTTATCGAGATCGGTTCAGATTTGGATATAGCTCCCATATATAACTTCGTCCGATTTACCTTTTATTGTGCACCAAACGTCAAATATTTGTCCAAATGGGATGGAATTTGGCACTTACGACCGAATCAAGTCTAGAAGCTAGTATGTCAAATTTGGTGAAGATCGGTTCAGGTATATAGCTATAGCTCCCATATATATTGTTCATCCGATTTGTTATATTTGTTACCCACAGCCGTAATATGCACTCCGTAACAACAATATTTAGGGAAATATATCAAATACAGCTCAGATATATCTTTGCCAAATTTTATCAAGATCGGTTGAGATTTGGATATAGCTCCCATATATATCAAATGTTCAATACAAGTCCGAATTTAAAAGATACAAATGCTTCGGCATATTTAGTCTTTTGAACTATAAATTATAATTATAAGCATAGAGTGTATGATTGGATTATCCCATAAAAACTTTTAATAGTTATGTGGAGCTCTACTAAATTAGCCAAGTGGTGTAGGGTATCATAACGTCGGCCCCGCCCTACTTTAAGACTTTCTTTACTGGCTTTTTTTGATACTATTATTATTATTATTATTTTTTTTTGACAACCTTTAACTTCTTGAAGGAAATACGTTTCTTCTTGGCACATTTGAAACATAACCTCTTTATCAAAAATACATTTAAAATATATCAAAACTTACAAAACCTTTAATCATAACTTAATTAACCTTTTCACCCAGATCCTTTTGGATACGAAAATATAAACTGCCCTTATCATTAACTAAATCGCATTATTGTCCACTAATTCAATGCCACTAAATATTGTTTGTCCTCAAACTTCATCGCCAAATGAACATTTCGTTTTGATTTATACCACACGAAGAACATGACAAGTGACACATAATCTTGGCCAAAGAATATGCAGATTGGAACATGTCGCTCCTTTTATGATTTATACAGATGTTGTACAACTCTACTTGGAATTCAACACACTTCGACATTAAAATATATTACATTCATGAATAGGAAAATGTTGTGATAAGGGGAGAGAGAGAGAGAGCGAAGGCAGGGAGGTAGCCAGTCAACTCTTTATGAATATGGGTGGGCGACAGCCAAACAGACAGACAGCCATAATGTTGGCATTGTTTTGTCTGATACTATGTTTTTTTTTCTGAATTTTATTTTCTTTTCGATTTTTTTTTTTTTTTTTTGTTCGGAGCAAACTTTTCGCATATGCATTGTATATAGTTTACATATGCGAATGCCAAGAAATCATCCATACGGCAGGCCACATATCACATCACACATGTTGTGTTTGTGTTACTGTGTCTGTTTCTGTTTCTGAAAACACACGTATGCTGTCTGCAGGCGATA